CGTGGCCATGCTTAAATCCATTAGGATCCTGCCAGCTATAGCAGCATACCATGACTACGAGATTTGGCAAATGGATGTCAAAGCTGCGTTCTTAAATGGAGATCTTAGTGAAGATATCTATATGCAGTAACTGCAAGGTTTCATATTTCCGGGTCAGGAATACATGGTATGTAAACTAAACCAATCCATATATGGACTTAAGAAAGCTTCTAGGAGTTGGAACATCCGGTTTGACTCTACCGTCAAACAGTTTGACTTTGAGCAAAATCCAGATGAGCCTTGTGTTTACAGGAAATCTAGTGGGGATAAGGTTACGTTCTTGGTTCTGTATGTAGATGACATTCTACTCATTGGAAATGATGTAGGAATGTTGACTACGGTGAAAGTGTGGCTTTCACAACAATTGTCCATGAAAGATCTTGGAGAAGCCTCCTACATACTAGGTCTTCGACGCTATAGAGATAGATTGAAGAAGATAATAGGATTATCTTGATCTGCTTATATTGACAAAATAGTCAAGAGATACAGCACGGAGAATTCCAAGAAAGGAAATGTTCCTTTCAGGCATGGAGTCACTCTCTCCAGGGGCATGTCTCCTAAGACTCCTGAAGAGATTGAGGGCATGAAAGACGTTCCCTATGCCTCATCTGTAGAGAGCATCATGTATGCCATGCTGTGCACTCGTCCTGACATCTCTCAGGAAGTGAGTGTAGTAAGCAAATTCTAGTCAAATCTAGGGTAGGAGCATTGGGCCGCTGTGAAAAACATACTAAAGTACCTTCGAAGGACAAAATAGTTTTGTCTGGTATTCGATAGTAGTTCACTATAGATCCAAGGGTATACTGATGCCGATTTCCAGTCAGATCCAAATGATAGAAAGTCTACATCTAGTTATATCTACACGATAGGATCGTGTATTGTTAGCTGGAAGAGCAGCAAATAGGGGTCCTAAGTAGTAAGAATAACAATCCACAACCCAAGCCAAACACATTGATGTAAGTGAAGTTGTCTAATGAATGAAGGTGTCCATTCTGGAATTTGGAATTCAGCACACATCTATTCCACTGTTGTGTGACAACACTAGATCTACGGGAGATTAATGTTAAAATGTAGCATCAACGGAGAATGTGACAGACCCATTGACTAAGCCACTAACACAGAAAGTGTTTGAGAAACACGTGGAAAGCATGAGACTCCAGCTTATACCAGATTGAACCTAAGTGCAAGTGGGAGTTGTTAGACAGTGTATGCCCTTAGCTCCAATCAGAATGATGTACATTATGACATTTAATGTAAATGAATAAAGTACATATTTGATTCATGTTATTATGGTGTGTTTCTGTGTAATACCCTTAAACAGGACACATATGAGACTCGTGTTAGTTTAGAATCTTCACAGCCATTGGATAGATCTAGGGAGATTTATCTTGCCAAGACTGACACTGATGTGCCACCAAGTTGGTTGGGGTGGCTCGTCTCAGCTGCTAGGGTGAGACCTGAGGTACATGCAGTGTGGATTTTCTTGAAACCCTGAACCAGACCAGAATTCTAGTATTGCCCTGGACCTTGGAGATTGATGGGCAAAACTGGAAAAATACACCCGACCCCTAGATTCGATTATGATACTACACTAGGTGTCGGGTTGGGCTGTTTTTGATATGCCAATCATTGAGATCTTTAGAGAGGGTCAAAACTTGGGTATGTTGGGACAATCCGAGAAATTCATCTGAGTGGGTGATCATAGTGACATGATCAACCCCTTTGTCGGACAAAGTGAATGATCGGGGATGCACTCTGTCTGATGGAAACCTAAACAGCCGGCAGTCGATTTCAACTGTTGAAATTTGTTTTACAAAATATATTTATATGGAGATATAAATATATATATGTTTGCAACTGTCGAAATGTTTGCAAAAGGTTTTAATTCCCGGGATCCATGTGAGTAGAGAGT